GAGTAAGTATTTTGGTTTTTGATTACTTGAAAAATTAATAAGAGTTGAAACTAAATCTTAATATATTTCTTTTCATTTGAAATGGATGTACTAAGATTTGGGTTGATTTTGGTCTGTTTCAATGGCTCATATGATTTGGTTGCAAGGGGAAAGATGGAGGTAAAACGAAGAAGACCGGACGTTTTTGGTACTATTAGTTTTATTAAGTAATTAAATAATTTTAATTAGATTTCTATGTTGTAAAAAAAAAATTCAAGTAGACCTTCTAGAAAAAATTTAATTCAAGTCAGTAGTTGGGTCCACAAAAACACATGCACAGTTAGTTTTAAATGATTTGCTGATATTGCAGGTTAAAAAAGGGTTGACTTGCCAGTAGCTGATGAGTTTGGGGGTTTGTTTGCCACTAAAATGAGTTGAGAGGCTGATATCCCACTGATTGCTAAGTACAGGGGCTAATTTTGCCTTTTTTGCCATTTTCATATCCAAAATAAAATTGTTTTATAAATATAACTACAATTGGGTGGCTACCAAGTGATCCTGTGGTCAGGGTTGTCACTAGGCTAGGCTAGTGTGACATGGGATGGGATCGGATGCTGGACTTTGGCTGTTAGGTTGGCGTGATGGCTTAATAATTTTTTATTTTTTGGTTCATATGGTTTTTTTTTTTATTATTTTGGTATTCAATAATTAAATTGAATTTTAATTAATCTGAAATCGCATCAAACTTTATTAAGAGAATGTCTATTTCTTTATTTACAAAACGCAAATTCAAGATCTTATTTAAAAAAAATTGAACTCCTTTCACTCGTACTAATAAATCATTAGTTGATACACTTGTTGCGTTGTGTTTAGTATCTCAAATTAAGTCAAAACTTGAATTATAGTATAATAGGGAAAGAATTGAAAAAGAAACACTATAAATATTTTTTTTAATTAGTATAATTAAAAAAATAAATAATTAAATAATTAAAATTAAAATTTTAAATTTTTAAATATCATTACACTTCTTAAAGAAGATGTAATTTTGCACTATAATGATGGTTAGCAACTACAATTGTCCCATTGTGTTCGTCTATTCTAGATGTCCTGTATTATAATTTTAAAATTGTTAGTATTTATTTTTGGTAGGTAGTTATTTTAGTCGGAAGCTGTCACCTGTAGACTATATATCCAAGACCTGATTTTGCAGTTTTTAGGGAGTTTTAAGTTGAATAAATGGAGCCAGACTGCAAGAGCTTCTGGAAATGGGTTTGTAGAGGAAGACAGAGATCTATTTTTTCATTTTGGTAATTTGATTTTTTTTTTTAATTTTATTTTGCCTTAGTAATTTAAATGTTTAATACTCTTTACTTTAGGTTTCAATGTTTAAAATTTGAATGGAACATTAGTTATTATGGTAGCATCTCAATATTAGAGGCTTATGTTGCTTGCATGACGTTTTGCAAACAACAAATAGAGTAAATAAGTTGTTGGGCATTAAATAGCTCAAGCGAAGTAACTAAAGGTTATCAGGCATGCCTATACAAGGAAATTTAGTTTGTTAAACACCTTAAAACAAAATATAAGATCGTCAAAAAATAGAATTCGGGTTAAAACTTTCCAGTTTCTCCATCATATGAAACAAGCCTTAATTTAAAAGTGATTCTATTCTTCTTGGATCTTGACTAATAAACATTAAAAACCCCATGAGCCTACCTCTTTAGATCCACCAAAAAGGTTATTGTTTTCTCCTCTGTAGCCCCGTAAAATACACTAACCAGATGTGTCCAAGCACACTTAGATCTATGTAATAATACATAGAGACATGAGAATGAGGTTAAGCGAACCACAGAACCCACTGGTTGAAGCCACACCTGCCCCCACGGTACGGGATGTTACCCCCAAGATTCGAACTTCGAGCACCAAACTTTGGGACTCCTCCCTTCCGTCTCCCCGTCACCCATCCCGTCCCCCCCACTGTACGACCAAAAGGAAAAAAGGAATAGGGGTCAAGGGGCCGGAAGAATGAGGACCACTGTTTCCACCTGATCTAATTGTTTCTTCCTTGGCCTCTTTTGCTTTTTGTGCGAATGACATTCTGTTACAGCAACAGCTTATAGAAACATGTATACACACAAAAAAAATCAGATCAGCATGCAATTGTATATATGTTACCTTCATGATTGATCTTCCCATGGCTGAACTTTAAGGTCTTGAAGAAATGAAAGAGCACTAGGATATTGGCACGGCTCAATCAAACCAAAAGGCACCACCTAGCTCATCGTGTCTGAGTGAACCAGGCCAATATCACAGTCACTATTTCATGTGTACATAGAAAAATCTTCACTATTTCATGTGAACCAGGCCAATATATAGAGCTAATAGTCCTATATATGCATACCAAACAAAACCTAGCTAGAGAAACAAGGAAACTCTATCAAATGTTTTGAGGATCAAGTTAACAAAGAGAAAGATACAAAAGGGTTAATAAGGAAGTAGAGAAGAAAAGAAAGGGTAAAAGTTTGCCTTCAGAGTGAGGGAGAGGCAAGAATGTCTGGTTGAGGATTTATTAGGAGAGGCAAGAGGGCATGCATGAGCATTTAAGACCGCTACTACCAAACCAGAAAGCTGGGCCACTGCATTTAAATCCATTATTCTCCCTCTCATACTTACTCGATTAAATTTCTCCCTTCTTTATTATTATTTATGGACTTTTTAAAGATAAAAGTGAAAAATGTAACCAATATATTTTTTAATAATTAATATTAAGAATAATTAGAAACTGTTCCATTTTCCTGTATGTATCTCAAATTTTTTGGCTTTGTACTGTAGGGTTCTCATTTTCCAAAACAATCCTTAAACTTGGACGAATTGTTGGGATAGAAATGCACTTTCAATTGGTATGTGAGGAGAAAATTCAAATTTGTGTCCCAACAAAGGGATCGTTCGCCCAGGGATTGTGATACGACTGGGTCTCTCTGCATCAGCGGACCAGAAAAAGCAGCGATATGTATAAATGAGGGGAATCTCACTCTGGAACGGACAGACGGCAACATTAATGTGCAAGGTACCCATCTTCCTACTCCTTTTAGATATTAGAATTCGGGGAACTGTTTAATGCATTTTATAACTACTCAATCGAGCCCTGGCTCAATGGTTAAGATAAAAGTTTTAAATACAATTTGACAATTAATTAGTTAATCAAATTTAATAATTTATACTTAAAATAAGTGTCCATTTTAGCTTACATTATTGTCAATTTTTTGTTTTTGAAAATTTTGACAAACAGTATTAAAGTGGTTTTTTTTTATCTTATATTGCGTAATAAAAAATTATATTATCTCATTTTTTAACTCAATTAACTTGTATTTCATATAATTTAAATTTAAAATATCTTACTTTTTAATAAAAGAGACCATCACTAAATTTGTATTAAAGAGAGGCTAATTAAGTACACTTTTTGGATTTTATTTTTTTTTTAGTCCTACATGCTTAATAACCAGGGAGAGAATATAAGACTCAAGTTCCAAACCATTTTTTTTCTCCCGCACTAGGGGAATCATAAGGCAAGGGGAGATGTCATTGTTTGGGTTCGAATCTAGGACATACGAAACTCCAAGCTTGTGAACTGTTAGGCCAACGAGAACGGTTCAAGTTCCAAACTAATTTGATTTTCATGATTAACAAGGCTTCAAAAGAACATTACTCAAGTTCAAAAAAAAAAAAAAAAGGCTTCAAAAGAAAGAAAAGCTAGCTAGAAGAATTTTGGTTGGGGATAATTGCAACTATCTACAATGTATAATTTCCTTGCATGGCAAGAGCTGGCATTGCGTAATTGATTCTTCAACACGTTTAAGTTATAATCACACACACGTTTAAGGTAGCAAAGCAGCTGACGGCGGGTGCAAGCTGTTTTTTGCAGCACCATTATCCATGATTATTGGTCCAATCATAATACCAGTATAAAAGAAATGGTACCTGCAATCATGAATAATTAATTAATCAACCAACTAATTTAAATTTAATTAGGGAAACTTATTAGTGCACTCTTTCTTTTTTTATCTCAATTAGATAATGTGAGATAATCATCTTTTATCCCTTATTCCACTCCACCATTCCACTCCACTTGCATGCCATGCGACTCGAATTTAAAATTTTTTATTTTTAGTAAAAAGAGATGATTACTAAACTACTTAACTTGTTGACATTAGTATACTTTCTAATTCAACACACCCGTTAATATATACTATTTCATCAATTAAAATCCATAGTTTTAAGGTTTTTCATCTTTAATTCAAGTTTAAAAATAATAATTTCTTAATAAATATGTTGTAAAGTGTATTACATTGAAAAATATACTAATTATTGTCTTTTAATTAAATATTTTTCTAATTATTCTCATGCCATTATAATCTTATACATATACCTAACACAACCAGAAGCTAAAAGGTCTAAATTGTGTCAAATAATTAAGATACGATTTTTAAAAAATTTTCTTCCATTTTTTTAAAAAATGGTCCTCGGCTTTGAACTACCTATATTCGCTTATGAATGTAACAATATAATTAAGGCACGTAACACATAGTAACATCCGGCCTGAAGCAAGCTAGGGAAGGCCATTTTTTTTTCCTTCAAGATATGCTTAAATATATGGATTTGGTTTTCATTCATTGGACTATCAAATTTCTCATAATTTAACATTTATTAGTTCCATCCAACTCAAAAAGGTCCCCAAATCATCTATTCCAGCTCTATATATATAGTCCAAGACTATACATTACATCAAATAGAAATATTCTTTTCCCATGTAGATTGACAAAATAAAATTTTAGGTCCAAATTTAAAGACGTCAATAATACCTTTAATAAATTCCCGAGCCAAACTGATTCATTAAAGATATCATTGATATTTTAACTTCAAATTGACATCTTCTTTTACAGTTTAAAGGAAAAAGCAAAGGACACAGCGTTGGTACGTAAGTAATGGCAAATTTAAAAAAAGGAAATGTGACACTACAGAACATGCATGAATGGTCACAATCTAATAAGAACCGTAGGATGGTGGACCAAGCAAACAACCCACCTTGTTGTTAAAAGCTAACAAAATGGTTGCTTAAGGGCAAAAGCCAAGGCAAGACAAATGTCAAGGAATTAAAATCCTGCAGGGCGCGCTCGTCTGTGTGAAAATCACTCTCACATATATATGTTCTGTTCTGTCATTAAAAGCGTCAAAATAGAAAGATCATCAAGCAGTGGTTGACGTCAAAGACAGCAACTAATAATTGTTTTTGTTTATTGGAAGGTCGAGGGGTTTTATATATATAGAGAGAGAGAGACAGAGAAAACAGATCAGGGACAGAACATGTATGTTGACAGAGAGAATAGAAGTAGTTGTACTTAATTAATCTCCTTGTCTTATTTTAAGGTTTGGATTTTCTTTTTCTTTTTTTTTTTGGTTAGTTTTGGAATTTGAATGAAGTGATGTGAATGGGTCAATGCACGTCGCGGACGGTGATCAGGAGCGGCGGAGAGCGGTGGGAGGATTGTGTTGTGTCGTCGTCGGAGAGGGCGGGGTGCTTAGCGGTGATGAAGGAGTATCGCTCCAGGTTTTACATAGCTCGACGGTGCATCATCATGCTTCTTTGCTGGCAAAAATACGGCAAGTATTAATTAGCGCTTAATTATTGTTCATAATCAATCCGTTTCTTCTTCTTCTTCTTCTTTGGCCCAATTAATGAACATTAAATTGTATGGTTTGATGAATAAAAATGCAGTGTGTTTAATTAATTTTTTTCCCTATTGCTCCTAAATCGAATTATCATAAAAGCTCGATCCCTTCTTCTGACATAACAAAGAAAACCATTTATCCTCTTTATTCATAAAAGCTTTTGCAAAGGAAGCCTATCTTGATTTACTTACGGTGCTTCAAATTAATTAATACAAAAATGTGTTTTTCAATCCTAACTATA